TAGATAGATAGATGGATGGATGGATGGATGGATGGATGGATGGATGGGTAGACAGACAGATAGATAGGTAGACAGACAGACAGAGAGACAGACAAACCGATAAATGGGTAGATAGACGATGTAATGGTAGATACAATGGATGGATGGATAGATAGATACGACAGATAGATAGGAAGATGGATGGATGGATAGATAGGTGATGAATGTGGTTATGTATAGATGGATGGATGGATGGATGGGAAGGATAGATAGACAGGTAGATAGGAAGATGGATGGATAGATTGGTGGATAAATGGATGGACAGATGGATAGAAAGATAGATAGAGATAGAGAGGGAGTGAGAGAGAGATAATGTTACCACTGGCTTGCCTCACTGTGGAATCTCATTGGTCCAAAATTTCTCTCCATAGAACTAGAGTATATTAAACATTAATTATTTCTTGATGGCTGTGATTGACGGGTTACCTGACAGTTCTGTATTAAGTGAGGACAGCAAAACTGTTTGTTGCTAGCAACTTTCTCATCCTGGTTAGGACATGGCGTTAGAGTGATTAATTGGTTGTTTTGTTTTCTGTTGTTTTCTGTGCATATAACAGTTCCTCATTTCTTTTAGTTTGCCTGAGTTTCCATGATACAGCCCATCACTCATTTTCCAGGTCATATGTTAAAGGGAACATGATGTAAACGTTCTTCTTCTATCATAAAAGCTATTTTCATGAACAATTACTCCTCATCCTTCTGCAGTCCTAAAGCTCTCGCCGCAACCCAAAATGTTCTTTGTGGTATTTAATATTCAACACACCTGCTTTACACTATTTTTCAACTGCTGTGCCTCATTTTATGCAAATGCTCCCACACTTTCGTTCACTTGAGTTTTCTTTCCCCTTCTTCATAATCCGAGGGCGAATGAGGTCATGGGAAGTCAGCTAAAAGAAGAAGAAAAGCAAACAAAGCAGGGCAGGAGTGGTAATGAAATGGAAAGAAATGGAAAAAAAACGATAACACAGCAAGGCCAGTCAGTTCTGGAAAGAAGGAGAAGAGAAAGGAAATGATGTTGGGGCGCATGTAAAGAGTAGAGAGAAGGGTCAGAGTGGACAGACATCATTTGGATGTTGGTGGCTGACCCTTTGACCTTTCCTTAATTGTGACATTACTGTGGCTGCTGGTGCTTAACCTTCACTGATGAGTCTCGTGCCCTGGTGGGTCTTCTCGCAGTAGGGTGTGTGTGTGTTTGCGGCCAGAGACTTTCAGTGCGGTCGGTGTGGGAGACCATCTGTCCAACCATGGGTCACTGCATCGCCTGCCGCTGTAGTGACCAATGGCATGAAGATCTACTTCATTAAGGCTGCTTCATACTGCCACAGAAAATGTCAACATTTCTGACATCCTGTTGACTGTATAATTAACATCACGCAAGCAAAAGTGCTGATGTACTGAATATCAACACAGCTGTGATTGATTTGTGGATATTGTTTCTAGGGATTATTACATTGCTATTATTAATCTGGTTGATAGTTGATACTGATAAGCAAATAATAATTTTCATGTTATGGTCGGTATTGAAATTCTGTAATATGTTTTTTCTAATTCATTTAAAAAATAAAATGCTAATAGCCAGAATCAATAGTTTTAATTCTACAAGTAAATTTAGGACATTATAATGTACAATATAAAAAAATTTATACTCATTTTGAGATTTTGCAAAGATGACATTAACAGTGTTATTAATTTTTTTTTAAGAATAACTTTAAGTGTTAGATGACGGCAGAGGCAATACACATTTTACTAATATGGTAAATGAGCATGTACAATTTAGCCGATTTCTTACCACAGGGTTTTTGTGGGTCATAAAAGAGTTACACAATTGAAGGCCTTAAAAAGTTCTTAAATCAGAGCAGAAAGTCTTACATTCATAAAGTCATAGCATGCGAAGCAAAATATTTATATCTTCCTCTGTATTTTTGTTTTCCAATATAGATATCTAAACATTTTTAAATCAGGATACGTTTACTTGAGAAAAAAATTAAACCATTAATTAAGTGACTTTATGCTTGAAACAAAAACAAATATCTGTCAGTGGGGTATGAAAACTTGTTTTCCCTTTTAATAAAGTTGTTTTTTTTCTGAGCTCGCTGGCGGATATTTGTTCTTGTTCTTTATCAGTTTCAAAGAAAACTCTTATTATCTTACATCATTTTGCTTCTCAAGTAAATGTATTTTTATCTAAGATTCTTTATTTACTGTATATTAAAGGTATAGTTCACCTTCAGTTGCTGGTCCCCATTGACTTCCATAGTATGAAAAAATAAAAACACTATGCAAGTCAATGGGGACCAGCAACTGAAGGTGAAATATCCCTTTAAGAGAACACATTGGTGTATTGTGTTCGTTTTTAATTTTTCTTTACTTGGTCTTAAAAAGGTTTTTTAAAAAGTCTTAAATTTACAGTGGTCGACCGATATATATCCAAGACTGTATATTGGCAAATATCGAAAACAGTACTTTTATTTTACCAGCACTAGGAATGCACCTGAGTGCAGGTGCATTCTGTTCTCTTCATTAAATTATTAGACAGATCTGTTAAACAGTTTATGAAAAAGTATTGCAGCGTTTGCCTTTCTATTATTAGTAAAAGAAATGCAAACGCTATAGTACTTTCTCATATACTGTTGGTATTCAGCAAACACTGCGCATTTATGTCATTTAAACAAGTCTTTGAATGTCTAATTAATTTTTAATTTCATCAGCTTTACCAGATCCAACTGTCACTGGATATGCACAAGCAACAAACTTTAAATTCTTGTATTAAATGAAAAAATAGTGTATATAATGGCTTTATATTGGCTATCAACCACCTTGCATTCTAGTGCCAATCGAATAGGGACTAACTTGTATAAACACTCATTTTATTTGCTTGGACAATGTGAACAATGTGAACTTAAGCCACCAAACATCACATTAATAAAACAAAGAGACGTGAGCTGTGGTGCTCACAAACCGGAAAGCCCTGGTTGTTGATTCTATGAAAGTCCATCCTTTATGTATAGATTCAACCCCCACCTCTGGAGCTCCAGATGGCGTGGGTGTGTGACTTTGGCAGCACGATACGCATCAGAGAGCTCACATGATGAGGAGGTGTTCACGCTTTTGTTGATTCAGTTTGTTTTATTCCCACAAGATTCAGCCGTACCCCCCTCACTCTCACTGCCCCATGTTTCTTTGGTTTTTCGCTCCTGGAGGTGTTGCCTAGGTAATTGAATTGTTTGGAGGCTGTCAGGATTCCTGTGGCAGTGTTATTGCAGTCTCTGTCTCTGTTCACTGTTTTGTTGCCATATGCAGCATCCAGTATTAATCACCTGTTTACAGCTTTTTAAAACAAGCTGCCGTATGTGATGTGAAGAGAAAGAGACAGCGCTGACAAATGCTTGATACTTATTACAGTACTCGCAAGGCAGCGCTGTATTGATATTCCCCAAACGTTCCATTTGTTCTCTCCTCCTCCTGAACCTCCGCCTGAACCTCTCAACAGATCAAAAATCAAATGAAATTTAAGATTAAAATGTGAAAATCTCTCACTGACTTACATTCAGTACGTTTACATGGACAACAATACTCTGATTTTAATACGATTAAGACAATACACTGATTAAGAATCTACCGTGTAAACAGAGATTTTTGATTACCTTAATCCGGCTTAAATCATAATCGAAGTAAACACTAATCGAATTAAGACATGTGGAGTATTCCTATTTTAGTCACATTATTGAAGTGCAGTAAAGACATGTACACACCTTAATCACATTATTACCATCGTGTAGGACTTTTCGCCACATTTTGCGACAGGATACACACACGGCAGTGTTCAACCGTTTGACAGTAAACAAAAGAATGGCTTCAACAACGCCGTCGTCTGTTTGACACACACGGCAGTGCTCAACCGTTTAACGGCAAATAAACGAGCATAGCTTCAACACCACCGTCGTCTGTTTGCACGTATAGCATGACATATAATTAACTGCACTTGAAGCTTTCGTAAAATTTAAAATGAAACACCCAAAACTGTATATGGCATCATAACGAAGACGAACTATATGTTTATACGTGAAATTCTGGAGGGGATGTCGTATGGCGTCACGTGGGGACGTAAAGACGTATGCCATTAATTGATCTATGTACTATAACATGTAAAACGGGAACATGAAAGGAATATTCTAAAAGCAACTCATGTAAACACCTTAATCGTAATATTGTCTTATTGACTAGTTTTGTGACTGCGCATAAGTGCAGTGCCCCGTGAGAGTAACTCTACCGCTGAGCTAACACTGATGTGAATGCATGTGGCGTTGTACATTATATTGAGACGGACAGAGGCGCCAGAACTGCAGCTGATAGAATGTGCGCTGTAGCACGATACAATTATATTTCTTCAAAAGCAGATCGTGGAGACATTCAAAAATCATCATATCGCACACCCCTAACTACCAAGTATAATCAATCTCACACAAACAAACAAGCACAACGAAATCACTTCACACTATTAAGCGGCTGTGTTATGAACATGCAAAACTGTATCGCACGCGTGCTACAGTGGTAAATTTATTCATCGCACAGACCAGTTATTTCGTAGCACGTGCGACATATATGTCGCACTGTACAGCCCTGCATATTATGCATTCATTATAATGCCTTAAGAATACCCTTATAATGTATTATAAATACGGGCTTCATAGAAAGTGTTACCGAATATTCTAAAAGCAACTCATGTAATCCGATTTTAACAAGATTAAGACAATATTCTGATTAAGAATCTACCATGTAAACAGAGATTTTTGATTACCTTAATCCGGCTAAAGTCATATTCGAAGTAAACAGAAATTGAATTAAGACGTGGAGTATTCCTAATTTATTGTTCAACCATTTGACGGCAAATAAAAGAGCTTCCACACCGCCATTGTCTGTATGCACGTACAAATAATTAACTGCACTTGAAGCTTTCATAATATTAAAAAATGAAACACCCAAAACTGTACATGGCATCATCACTAAGACGAACTATATGTTTATACGGGAAATTCCGGAGGGGACGTCGAATGGCGTCACGTGGGACGTAATGACATAGTTCATTAATCGAACTATGTACTATAACATGTAAAACGGAACATGAAAGGAATATTCTAAAAGCAACTCATGTAAACACCATAATCATAATATTGGCTTATTTAGAATAAGGTAAATAATTCGATTACTGATGTCCATGTAAACGTAATCAGTGATGGAATGTTAAAATATAACCAAAAGCGATGTTGTTGTTATCATGCTATTTGCATACTGAGTTCCGATTGGTCTTGTTTCTTGCATCTGTTTGTGTGCTGTATTATGATTGGTGTTTTCTGTCATACCTCTATTTAACTGTACAGCCACCTTTACACAGCAAGAAGTATCATGTTACAGAATGTGTTGATTCTCATGCACAGCTGACAAAAACAAGACCTGCTGAGTGTTATGACAACCTGCAAAGTCACTCTAATGTGGCACTTATGTAAAAATATGTTTAAAATCCAACACAGACAGCAATTTTGTTACAAATCTAGTTCATTGTAAACTTTTTCTTTCTTTCTTTCTTTCTTTCTTTCTTTCTTTCTATTGATCTTTGTATCATTCTTTGTATTGTTGCATCGTTCTTTCTATCATTGTATAATTTTTTCTGTATTGTTGTAGCCATCCTTTTTTTATCAATTTTCCTTTTCATCATCTTTCCATCCATGAATTTTCTATTCCATCTATCCATTCATGAATTTCTCTTGCCTGCTATCCAACCATGCATGATTTTCCATCCATCCCTGAATTTTTCTTTCCATTGTCCATGAATTTTTCTGTCCATCCATCCATCCATCAATTTTTCATTTCAACCATCCATCAATTTTTGCTTTCCAATCCGTTAATTTTTCTATCCATCCATCCTTCTATCCATGAATTTTTTGTTTCATCATCCATTAATTTTTCTTTCCATCTATCCATCCATCCATGAATTTTTCCTTCCATCAGTCCATGCATTTTCCTTTTCATCTATTCATTCATCCATCCATCCATCCATCCATTAATTTTTCTATCATTTCATTCTTCCATCTATGAATTATTTGTTTCCACCCATCCTTCCATCCATTCATGATTTTCTTTCTTTCTTTCTTTCTTTCTTTCTTTCTTTCTTTCTATTGATCTTTGTATCATTCTTTGTATTGTTCATTAACATTATATTAATTGTACATTAATAACATTCCATCCTGTACCAACATGTACCATCCTTCCATCCATTCATGATTTTCTCTTTCCATCCATCCGTCTGTCCGTGAACTTTTCCATCATTTAATGAATTTGTATAACACAAGATAATACATAAATGTTGTCATTTTGACAACTAAAATATCATCTATTTTTTCCCTATTTTAGATGAATTTCCACAATAAAAGATAATACAGAATTAAAGTGAAGGAAAAGGAAGAAAATAATGGTTAAAAGAGCCCCTACAAAAACATAAGATGCGAGTGAGTATTTGTTGTGAAATGAGAGATACCAAGTCTGTCTGGCAGTCAGCTTATTAGTCCATCTAGATGGATGGATGGACAGATGGATAGATATAACATCCTGTCATCTTCCCGATTCTCCTTCAACTTTCTCTCTCACCTTGTCATTTTTTAATCTGCCTTTCTCGCTCACTCTATCAATCTCTCATTGTCCTGCTCAGGTCCCTCTGCCTCCTAAAGTAGCTCTCTTTCTCTCTTCTTCTCTTCAAGCCAGTCCATCACGATAAAGGCCATGTGGCCAGAGATCAATGCCTGGACTGACTGACATGTGCTGATAGATTGGTCTGCACGGGGCGAGCTGGACACACTGCTTTTACACTGTAACATCAATAGCGCCTAATAGCCTGTAGTCAGGGTGGCAGCGACTAGGAGAAGAAAAATGCATGCAAGCTACTTTTATGAAAGCGTTATTGTGATTTCCGCAGTCATTCTCCAGTTGTGCACACACATGTTAGAGCGTATTTGTGCGTGTGTTATCTTTTGCACTGGAAAACTATTGTGATCACAGCGATGGGCAATTAGTGAAGATGAGGGAGCCAAATGAGCATGTAAACCCTGTTGGAAGTGGCGTGCCTCATTGATTGATTAATTGACTGGCTGCTGCTGATAAATGATGAAGCCGTGAGTGGCAGGAAGCAATTTATGCTCCGCCACCAATTCCCTGCTTCTACCACATACATGCCCATGTGTGCTGAGCTTTCGATGACTGATTAAAAGCTTTGGGAGAATGCCTGATTAGCTGGTGCAGTCTGTTAAAGAGACGAGGACTTTCATTATTTTTGATTAAATATTAATGTCAGATAGTCATTTGTTGTGCTACTTGTTCTCCGATTGCTTATTCCTCTTGGTAGACTAATGATCTCTCCTCCTGGCTTTTCTTTTTCTTTCTCTTCACCACATCTCTTTCTCAGGCATTTCTCTCGAGAAGGTCTTTGACTACAGTGAGTATTGGGAGGTGACCCGAGGCCTTTATGCTCCGTTTGACTGCACTGCCACCATGAAGTCTGGGAATGCTGATGTCTACGAGAACGAGATCCCAGGTGGCCAGTACACCAATCTCCACTTTCAAGCACACAGTATGGGGCTGGGGAACAAGTTTAAGGAGGTGAAGAAAGCCTACGCAGAAGCCAACAAGCTGCTCGGTGACCTCATCAAAGTGAGCAATTACCCCTGTGTTTTGGGAGATCACATTTTCTTTATTTACATATTCAAACCTATTTTTAGTTATTTGTGAAGGGCTTTATTGACCTGAGCTCTAGTATATAGGGATTCACTCTACAGTCAAGTTGTCCCATTTGTGACAAACTACATCCATATCCATCCATCCATCCATCTACATCCAAAAGTGGCAAATACTGACTACCATGAAGCATTGCGAATATATTGTGTTTATATAATCTGAATATTTTATAATGAATATACATTGTATTTTACAGTTAAAACAGAGAACTTTTGTCCTTTTTTACTTTAAATCAAAATTCTATGCTATGTTGTTGCAATCCTTCTCTGAGCTGGTTTTCCATAGAATTCTTTAATATAAATCCTTTTGGAGGAAATGAATGCTTCCAGAACCAAGGATACTGAAAAGTGTGCCGTCACTTTTACACTATTCAGTGATTGTCAGACGAGAAATCAGGTCAGCTCATTTCTTATGAAATGTCATTATACTTAGAGGGTTTTAGACATGAGTCAATAGAAAATATTAATGCAGTAGTACACGGTGTATTAATGTGCGAAGTGTTATGATAATCCCCTTTAACCCTTCATGTTTGTTACTGCTTCTATTAATCCAGATCTTCAGTCTCTCTGAAATCACAGGCATTGTACATTCCCCTAGTCTTTATATGGAACCAAAGACATCACACCTTTTAGCTAATTAGGTCGACGTCTTTTCCTCAGATGTCATGTTTCACACTCTTGAAGACTGAGTCGTGATGTTGTCCAATGCTCACGTTTTCTGAGTCATTCCTTATATTGTCACGCGTGTCCATTTCCCAGCTTGCTTCTTAAAAAGTATTGTGTTATAATTTGAGTTATTTTGGTCAAAAGCAATGTGCAAACACCAATTTGTACATCAAACAAAATATTCAGTTCTAACTAGCTTGTTACATCTGGTTCACATCATTTATTCAAAGACTTTGTTGGACAAGTTGGTTTTTAAAAACGTCCTGCTACCCCTTCGACACATAAAAGATTTGTTTGTGCCAGAGGATTTTGCAGTTGTTTTCCTATAATTTTGCACTAGAATAGATTCTTAATTGTCCTTTCATTTTATTTTATTTTTATTTTTTTCCTGTGGAAACTAGTTCATTTGAAACGTTGGGCCCTGGCATGTAATCGCTTCAAAACACTCTAGCTTTTCAAATAATAAAAGCCATCTCTGAAGAGTGAAGAGACAGCTTTATAGCTTTTAAAAATGGTCAGTCATCTGAGAAATCTCATAAGATATAATTAATTATCAGCATAAAATCCACTCAAGCCTTTAGTATCTAGGATACTAAAGATAAGTATAACATTTAAGTTATATTTCTGAGAGGTAGTTCTAAAGATAGCTGAAATGTCCATGAAAGAAAAATATTTTATATGTGATATATTTTTTAGATTTCACAATTTTTTTTCAATCTGTCCCCCTTTTTAATCCTTTACTAGTTCATTTTAAATGTTCCTCCATTGTTCCTTTGGTGTGACAAATTAAAGATTTAATGATGATATTAATAATAGATAATTGTTTTATTTATATAGCACTTTTTTAACACTCAATGTCCCTTTTAGACATATTAGAAATATGTTTTGTTTTATACTAATAAATATGAATAATAAATAATAATAAATATAATAAATGAAATTGAATTGAAAAATGTAGACTTACTACATAATATGAGCTCATAAAAGCAGCATGTATGATATAATTATAAAATAATTCTGCTTTTGGTTTTAGACTGATGGCAGTCCAGTGTCACGTCAACTTCCCAAAATGATTTCATGTGAACTACTGCTATTATAATCAATATTAAAAGGTTTAGACAGTAATTTGTATTTAAATCAAGTTCTATTCATAAAATTTAAACAAATTCTAGGAATAACTATATTTAGAAAATTAACTGCTTTGGAATATGTTTTGATCAAAAATATGATGTGCTTATTCAGCCATATACTGCATAGTGGAAATAAGTGGTTAAGCAGTATTCAATCTGGCTCTGTTGACTTAAAATCCAATTTCATATTCTTTACTTCCTGTAAAATGTGAAATCCAGATCATTTTTAAGATTTCCAGTCCATAACCAGTCTTTTCAAACATTTAAATCAGATTTCACCCCTTCATTGCATTCAAAGTTGAAAGCCAGTCATTTGAGATTAGCAAATATGCGTTATGCTTTAGACTCAGGCAGAAG